TTTTCTACAGCTTTTCTTTCTGTTTTCTTTAACAAACAGTAACTTAAAATTTTGGTTTGTTTTAATGGAAAGCTATACAATGGTATTCTCTGTCTACCACAAGGAATGGAACCCCGGATTTTCGTGTTTTAAGTCCTTAAAAGTTACCTCTGAACCACCGTGTAACTGACATTAATTTCACAAACGCATGTCAACCAAAACAAATTTAATATTCAGAAAGAATGTTTGAGTACAATATATGACTTTGCGTTTTGGATTTGTTCACAAAATGAGCTATTTTATGGTAATTTTGTTCGACATTACTTTGAATGGTGATTGCTCCCGATAATCTACTTAAACTAATCAAATCTAATGACAATTCTAGCTTTAGTGGCAAAGTAATCTGTTGTTGCATTCTTAGGTTACTAGAAAATTTGACTGAATTTATTACAACCGAGAAAGTTTGCGAATTTTTATATGAGTGTACTTTTTGCATTATATCTTCAGAACTCAGAACTAACTAACTAATAATTAGTTTGGCATGACTCGCTAAGAAAATGCATAAATTGGTCATTATAAATTTGTTTTCCATTCTTATCTTAAAAATCATTTACAAAAGAAAAAGTGTGGTTTTTAGCTGGACTGGTGGAACTGACAGTAAACTACTCCTTGACTCAACAACTAAAAAAGTATAATATTCTTGTATCAATAAAATAGAATTACTGGAAAGAACAATTAAATTTTCAAGAAACAAAAACCGACAACGTAATATCGGAGCATAAATAATAGTCAATGAAGAGAGGAACAGTTTAATTTGTTTAGAAAAAACAATGCAAATTCCAGCCCAAGTTACAACTGATCCAAATATTTATTCTAACGTCTCTTCTCAGCCTAGTAACCTAGAAATATAGGTTTTTTATACTCTCTACTCAAGAAAGGTCATGTTAGAGGCGTTTTCTGTGCACCAGTGGTTATAGGACAGTCACACCAGCGATGAGAGAAAAGCCGGTATTTAAACAATATATAAACATCAATACATCCTGCCATATAATTTACCACGCCTTTTACCCAGTTTATTGTATTCTACTTATCGCAAGGTCCTTTATGGTTACGCTGGTGTGAAGCGAGAAGGGAGCTTTAATAACACAGAGAACATGACCTTCCTGGCCAACAGCCCTCTTATTTAACTTCAACTTTATCCTGAAGAGGACGCTTTAATTGTTGATTATCCGGAATATAAAAGCGATTGGACAAAACGTAAAAATACATTCCGTTTTATAATAGAAACGTGAGAAGAACGATTAGAAGATTCCGTTTTGGAATTTAGAAGACATGAAGATATTTTCCGAGCAAAAGCGTTAAGATTTAAGGTGAGTACTGAATACAATATTTTATAATAATAATACCACCATTCATTGTTTAGTGCTAGTGTATTTATCCTTTTAAGTTCTACTTGTAGATAAACCTAGAGTAAAAAAAAAAAAAAAAAAGAATAACTTTGTAAGGTTTTAAGTTGGTTAAAATCGCTATTCCGTATTCCTGGCATATTTCAACATTATGTTACATCAATATATTAATGCGTATCATTTAGGAATAAAATTATGTTAGATAATACAAGTACAACTTATAATAATAAAATTGTAAATGAATCACTGTCTTTTGAATATTTATCCAAACTTGCATAAAATATAACAAAGTCAAATACCAATGTAAAAAAATTATTACACAATACTGATTTTGTAATCAATAAGCAGAAGGTTCAAAAAATGTTAGAGCATAATTGGCAATAAAGTTAGAAAAAATTACCATAACTCTCCAGATAGTAATAAAAACTTCGATTAACGTTTCGCCATTGCGACATCATCAGAACTAGTTAGTTCAAAAATTATTATTGGGTTTAAATGTTAAAAGTTCAGTGAATGAAAAAGTTAAATAGTTTAATTGTTGAGATAGATACCTATTGCAACCTCAAATGAGCTCATCTGCCACCAGTGCAATCACCAAGTTTTGTTAAATTGTTTTCAAATATAAATCTATGATCCAAAAGTGCATGTAACTTAATATTAAAAGTTAATAAAAGATCGGAGTTTTTGTAGCAATGTAATAAAATATGATTGAAATTCACTGAATCGATAGATATCATGTTCCGTTAGGAAGTTTGCAATGCCATAAACAGGGGTTACTAAAAATGGTGTGATCAGTAACATAGGGGAAAATGTGTAGCAATTTCTTGTTGTTTGCTATTAAGCACAAAGTTACACAAAGGGCTATCTGTGTTCTGCCCACCACTGGTATCGAAACCCGGTTTCTAGTGTTGTAAGTCCGCAGACATACCGCCTTGCCACTTGGAGGCATGTATCAAGTACTTATCCTTTACTTAAACTAAATGTTCGTATAATTAAAGTCAACTGAAATCCCATTTGAAACTACAAGGCATATTTATCTTTTATCAAGTGCTTCCGATTTAGTCACGTTTTTAAAAGATAGGATGATAATTGAATCAAACTTAAGGTTTGTTTGATAAGACATATATTTTGTTCATAATTCTGTCTAAAATTTACATGTTTATGAACTTGTTTGGTTGGTCTGTTTAGATCAGTCTTTATATAAACAAACACGAAGACTATTTAAACAATACTATTATTAATATCTTTAGAACCCTTGAACACGTGTTTAACATACTCTGACTCGTAAAACAAGTATTACATAGAAACTATGTCGTGAACAGTGTTTGTTTGTTATGGATTTCGCGCAAAGCTACACGTGGGCTATCTGCGCTAGCCGTCCCTAATTTAGCAGTGTAATACTAGAAGGAAGGCAACTACTCATCATCACCCACCGCCAACACTTGGGCTGCTCTTTTACCAACGAATAGTGGGATTGACCGTCACATTATTACGCCCCCACGACTGAAAGGGCGAGCATATTTGTTGTGACGGGGATTCGAACCCGCGACCCACAGATTGCGAGTCGAGCACCCTATCCACCTGAACAGTGATAGAAATGGCGGTGCACGCCGTGTACCTAGTTCTCAGTTTGCATTTTTTCCCCATTGGTTAAGTTTAGTACCACTGAAGATGTTTATTAACCCAATCGTTACGGATCAAAGGCCACGACATCGCATTTGTTGACTTACAATCAAAATTTTATTGAACTACTATGTTATGAATTTATGTCAATAAGTTTGGTATGAAATTGTAGATTTTAATTAAAAT